CGATGGCCTCCAACGCCTCCAACCTAATAGCGATGGCCTCCAACCTACTAGCGATGGCCTCCAAGCTACTAGCGATGGCCTCCAACATTTGAGTAGAGATAGGAAAAATTTAACACGCGCAGATTGGCAAAGCATTGTGCTGCTTGTGTTGAAACTGGGCGGATTTCGTTCTGGTTTCAGTTTTCCTTGCCTGGGCACTTCTCCGTGGCACTCTCGCCAAACTCACAGCTGAAGGCTTGGAACAACATCTGCAGACAACATTTTTTGCTTCTGACACATGAAAACATGAACTTTGTCCTATGATGTCCCATGACTACCAACCATCAATTGTTTGGATACATGACTGTTGTCCTATGTGTGTCAATAAGTAACATGTGCTCAAAAAGTTCAAACAGAAAAGGGATGTTTTTCATGGAGAAAATCATTGCGTCAGGTGCCGTGCATTGGGTGCTCTTCTGGGCAAGCCTTCCTAGCAGATGCTTGTAAGAGTCCCGGAGGACACAGTAACATATTGCGCGGCCAGATCGAGTTATTTCTATGTTTTGGAGGGTGTTCAAGTCCTTTTTCTTGGTATTTCTTGGGTTTGTGTCATTTTGTTGATCAGTTTCCATGACCCACCAAAACACCCCAGCAAAACATGCACACTTGCATAATTAAGATATACGCAAGTGCATAAAGACTGGCATTGCAGAGTCGTGCGAATGTCAAATCAACCACTAGCTGGCTGCTGTTCTCTTAGAGTGCTGGGCATTTTTAAGAGAACTGTAAAAGCCGCAGATCAGCAAAAAAAAGCATGAGTTGTCCTTAGTGAACGGGTTCAGGATGGTTCAGGACAACATTTCAGACTAGATACAACTGAGTGTGGAAACGGCAGCGGTTCTTTTCTGCGTGTGTTGAGGATTGAACATGAACGAAGACAATTGTTTCTCGACAAAATTCCGAGGTCCTTTGAGGAACTTGCTGCTGGAGGACAGCTTCGTGTAGCAAAAGGTACCTTCGTGTTGCTGTTCTTTGTTGTTCTGAGTTCTGTCTTGGAAAAATACAGGTAGGTCACTCGGAGGTCTCCTGGTAGAGAGAGTTTGAGAGGGTTGCATTATGTTGCATTGCTCCCAGAGTTTGGAGCGAGAAAGGATTCTGTTGATTCCCCCAAGTCTGGTGTGTTGCAGGTTGGTCCATACTAATCCTCATCATGGTTTTCATCCATCCTTGTTCTCATCCCGATTTGCGCTTGTCCGTCCTCCATCCATACAGTTGCTGATCCACCTTCAACCCACCAGCCCAGTCATGCCCACTCATGCGCCCATTGTTTCATGTGTATATGTATATATAAGAAAATCAAGGACTAAAAACGTTTTGAAAGAAGGTAAGACATCCATTAAGGGAGCCTTTTGTTTGTTTTCACGCCAATAGCCTTTCGTCCACCTGCTGCACAAGTTGCGCCCTGTCGAGCCGCCCTAGCTGCAAGGATGCCAATCATTCCAACATGAGCAGGCAAAGTTGCATCGCTTTTTACTTTCGAAGATTCGAGATTCAAAGGGCACGGCATGGAAGCACTTGGCGTCGTTGAGCAGGTTGACTGACACGTGTCGCTTCCTTAGCTGTTTTTTTGGAGCTTTGAAATGAGGAAGTTGAATGGACTGAAGTTCAAGCTAGGGAGGTAGAAGCCTGTTTTCGGATCAATTCGGTTCATCTTTTCGAGGCGGCGGGCTTGAAGTCTCGACGGCTGCGACGACGTTCAAGGAGTCGGCCGAGGACCGTCAGCTTGACGCGACGACTTCTGTCGCTTCGAAGCTCCTTCCGCTCCCAAAGGAGTTCGTTTTGGAGCTGGACACATGCCATCAACTTAGGAAAGGTGAAAGGTGAACATGGAAGGACAGGAAGCTAGTAGTAACAAGTGCCACGCTAGTAGTAACAGGTGCCTTACTAGTAGTAACAAGGTTCGCTATTAGTAACAAGTGCCTTACTAGTAGTAACAAGTGCTCTGAAAATGATGTTCCTTGAGGTTCGGTCACTCCCGGTGTGCACTTCTCCCTTTGCACAGACTTGGATGGCTTCGCCTCCAGGAGAGCTGCTGAAGCAAAAAGGAATCTCAAAGAAATAGACACACTCTGTGACACAAGGCGTCATCATGGTGCTATACCAGGAGATAAGCAATAAGACATCTAATTACAGGCTACAGGTCCAAAGAAACAAGGAAAGAAAGAAGAATAGATCAACCCCAAATATATGTTTGGAAGATGTGGGAGAAGCCGGCACTTTTTGAAGTTGTTTGAGGCTGGAGATTGGGAACTCTGGCATTGAGATCTATGCGAGCTCCTGAGTACCTGCGGATTCTTCCAAGTCTCTAAAACAATGCAGTTTCTTGTTGTTCTATCAGTTATCATGTTCTTCTGACCTTTCGTTTCCCTTTTTTTCCTGCCTTCCTTGTGCTCTTGAAGAGTCCTTTCAAATCAGAGTCAGAGTCTCTTTGAAGTCTAGCAGTCCATTTGAGGTCAGTCCGTTAAAGTCCATTGTGGGTTCGGAAAGGCGATGAATTGAACAGAGCAGTTTTGTGCCTTTTCTGAACCTTTTGTTTTTTTAGAGGCCATCGCTAGTAGGTTGGAGGCCATTCCTATTAGGTTGGAGGCCTCTCTAGATTGTGTCACTATCACTGATACAACAGACAGTCTGCAGAGAAGAGATGAGAGGCATAGTCAAATATAGACCATTTGCCCTGGAGGCTAGTGAAGGGAAAGCATTCCCTTCTCACAATGGCCTGCTCAGGCAATGTCTTCAACTTCTAATCTTACCATGTCTAATTTGGAACATGACAAGAAGCTACTAGAGGCTCCTGGCCTTACTAGGAGCAAGGACGCTACTAGGGGCTCCTGGCATCGCTACGAACGGAGCTACTACTAGTAACAAGAAGCTACTGGAATTAAGTTTAGTAAGGCACCTGTTACTACTAGCGTGGCACTTGTTACTAGTAGCGCTCCCAGGATGCATGAATGGAGTCACGACAGCACAGCTGGCCATGAAGTGCGATGAGTCACCCAATGCTGTCCCTGTGGCCGTGTCGCCAGACTCCCAGAGCACTGCCGAGCAGACTCAACACGTCTGCAGACGGACACATCAAAGAAAAGAAGACAAATCCTCAATGCGAAACTGAGAAGTTATGAGAACGAAAATTTTTGCACAAACATAATGGAACTCATTCAGGCCCAACTCCACCGGTGCTGTGCTCCTGCAAGAAGGCTGTGGGGTGCAGCATTCACCAAGTATAACTACAATTGTGTCAGTCATTGGCCTCTCCAAAAAACGAGAACACATGGAAAGGGGAATAGACGTCTTAGGTATTGAGTAGTCTCAGAGTAGATGAGTCGGACAAAGATCATCCTTGCCTTTTTCTGGCCACGGTAGTTTTCACTAGTGGAAGCAAGCTTGCTTGCTCGTGCAAAGTCACTGGGAACGTCACTAGACAACATTAAGGACGGAAGCTTCTCTTCACTGCAACGCCTCAATTGGGGAAATGGTTGCTTCTTTAAAGAACCCTTTGTGTGGGCCAGAAACGGTTCCAGATCAACAGCAAAGAAACAAAAAAATGATTCAATGTTCATTGTCATCATGTTGTTCATGTTTCAATGTTCTTTTCTTTGCATCATCTTTGCTTGGTGCCGAGGCTCACAAGGCTTTCAAGCACACTTCGATACACGTGGCCTAGGCAGTGGCCGCTCGGTACTTAGAGCATCTCACGACACCCCCGCAAGACAATGGGTGTGGGGAACTTAGCAATATTGTGGATTCTGTTTGGTCTAATGGTCTAGCAAATGTGGATGAATTGGAAGAAAGCATGCTTTCATGTTTTTCTTGGCGCTGGCTCCTCCTTGCTTTTGCCAACAACCTGCATCTTCAAGAACAAAATGCCATGCCGACAACATCCGGCGAACGAACCTACTGATGATTACTGTAGTACCTCCACAAACCATCCCAACCAATCATGTTCAGTGCGCAGAAGTGCTCCAGAAAGACAGCCTCTTCGATTAATCCCATGTCTCATGAAAGGCTTTGGGTGGTACCACTTACCGGAGGAAGTAGTTACTAATAGCGATGGTCTCCACATAATAGCTACAAAGTCAAAAAGTGTCTTCCGCTGAGCAGAGCGCTGTTGGCTTCTTTCCACAAAAGAATCACCTGACTGCGATTGTTACTACTAGCTTCTTTGTTACTACTAGTAAGGCACCTGTTACTACTAGCGAGGCACTTGTTTCTAATAGCCTCTTGTTCCTAGTAGCGTGGCACTTGTTCCTACTAGCGATGCACCTGTTACTAGTTGTTCAGCAGAGTCAGGAAGCTTATTTCAAATGTCTACCACGCTGCGTCCACCGATGCACAAGCACGTACACCAAGCGAGTTTGCCCACACAAAAAGTACATTGGCGATTCTACTCTACCCCCGCCTTCAAAACCCATTGTGGCTATTGATGTATTCCGCCTGAATCATTGGCCAGATTGGCAATAGAATCTTTTGCAGAATAGAACCATTTCTTTGTGATATTGGTGAGTTTCATTGGTTTCAAATAGATTTCGTGATTCTGCACCAAAGTTTTGACAGCTTTAGGGGCACAGTGAGCTCCACACCTGAAATTCCAACGGGAAGCATTCTTCAGAGTCCAGACACGCAATAACGCCTAGGATATACACATTGGAATAAGAAAAAATACATCTACAAAAACAGAATGTAGTTTAAATTAGTTACTAATCGCGATGGCCTCCACCTAACAGCGATGGCCTCCACATAGTAGCTTCCTAAATAAGTAAGTCTATTGGATAAGAACAGGACAATATATTTTGTTGTTACATTTTTTTGAACGTAGATGTCAAATTTGTTTGAATCGATCGTGTTCGAATTGGTTCCTTGCCGTGCCTCGCTTCCAGGTCGATATCGAGTTTGCTTGGATTTGGATGGCCCTTCGCCCACGTACCGTGTGAAGACCTTAGACCGGGTCAGACGATCAGACCATTCCAATCGACAATGTCGAGTGAGTCCTAGGACATACATACATATATATAATATATATATATATTATATTGTAATATATTTGAACTGGACGATGCGTCAAATACCTAGTTAGGCAAGAATGAGAGAGAGAGAGACAGACAGACAGAAAGTTTTTTTGAGAAGAGTGACCAAGAGAACAAGTGAAGAGATGCGGATGTGGCGCAAGATCTTGAATGTTGATTGACTCAGACTCTGTTCAAAGTATTGCCGTCGGGCATCATTTAAGAATAACTTTGTTGAAAGAAATGAGAGGGCCCTTTAGTAAGGCCCTCAAAGGGACCTTATCGGGGCTACGTCCTTCGTGTGTTCTTATTTGTTTCGTTTCTTTATTGGATCTAAAGAGTTTGCAACTCCGCCGCTTTGGTTTGCTTCAGGCAGGTGACACCGGCCTTTCAATCTACCTCACAGCCATCACCTCCATAAGCCGCCCAGCTTGAGATGTGACACAAGATAACACGAGAGGACAGGCAAAAGAAACCTTGAGGCAAGGTCTGGAGGGTGGCTGCATCCGAGGCACATTCGCAATTTGCGGATATTTGCGGTGTAAAACGTATACGTAGAAGTGCTTTTTTGGTATGCTTTGCACCATGTACCACTAGGCAATTGGAAGACAATCCCTGATTGATTTCCCTTTGGTCCGTTCACCACTGGTTTGTGGGTTGCGGTGCTTGGGTAAAGGGGTTAGAGTAGAATAGAGTGTCGGGATGTGTGAGGGAGATAAGACATAGGTGATAAGACAACGTATGTTCGGAGAAGGCTAGTTTTCCTAGTAGCGAACCTTGTTACTACTAGCGTGGCACTTGTTACTGAAAGCTTTCGGACCTGTGCTGACAGGTGACAAAGGTCCTAGTAGATTCCTTTGCTACGTAAACTAATTAAATTCTAACTTGTTACTGTTAAAGCACTTGTTTCCAATAGCGATGCACTTGTTACTACTGTTAAAACACTTGTTACTAGAAGCGATGGGTGAAAGGAGCTTTCGGACCTGTAAAACACAAAAGTCTTAGATTGGAGGCCATCGCTAGTCGGTTGGAGGCCTAGGTTGGAAGCTATTCGGTTGGAAGCCATCGCTATTACTGTAGATTGGAGCCGTTGCAAACAGGCCATACCCGAAGCAACTAGAGGTTGTCAGGTCAAACATCAGATGTCGGTTAACTCCCTTGGGTTGCTGGTATGTGGATTGATGTGGATTGTCTCTAGAAATGGAGGTTGAACAAGGCAGTGCCAACCGTGGCCCCGTACGACATGCACGCTTGAATGGAAACAACGGATGCCTTTTAACCTGTCGCTTTGGCTTTGTATAATGTCCCTTGAGAGAAGAAGTTCACTTTGAGACCCGCCAAAGCGATGTGCATCTCTTTCAGCAGACAAACAAATTGCATGAGGACTTTTCGAAAGTTGTCCAAAGACCCCCAGATGAGACCGCACAGAGTCACAAGAAAACGGCGTTGCGGGATATGTAGGATTATGTAGGCACAGGATATTTTCTAGATGGTCGGACGAACGCGAGAAAACTCTATTTTCTAGTAGTATCAAGTGCATCGCTAGTAGTAACAGGTGCATCGCTACTAGGAACAAGCGCCTTACTAGTAGTAACAAGAAGCTTATTGTTTAGACGACTCGACGTTTAGAAACGGCAACTTGGCCCTTCCCAGTCCAGCTCACTCGGCAACAGTGTTGGAAACGTCGGAAGAAACGAGGGTGTTTGGCGTAAAGAAACCCAAAGGATTCCAAGCCTAAAGGATCGACGGCAAGAAACGAACTTTCTGCGTTTCCTGTTGCCTTATTTTAAGTTGGAGGCCATCGCTTTTAGGCTATTGCTTTCAGCCACCTCTTCTTTAGACATCTTTAGATTGTTTTGTACACTTGGCAATGTCATGTGCGTTTCTGAGGCGGACTGCAACGTTTGTGTATTCAACCACTTGCTGTTGCATCGTGTCTAGACCGGTTCCCTTGCTTACCAACAGGATTATGTCGATGTCCTTCTTCCTTGTGTTGTTCATGTCCACTTCCCGTTTGTTTTGCAGCCACATCCTTCTTGATTGTTTCCTATTGCTTGATCCTCTTACAACTACCACCGACCTTTTCCTCAAGTTTTCCATGGTTCTTGCTAGTCACAGATAGTCTTCTTGGGTGAGGGTTACTTGAAACACATGATTGGGAATTTACTTTCCAGTTGGCCTACAACGCATGTTATATAATGGCCTTCAACAGTGCCACGAAGATCAAGGGCTTAGTCTAAAGGGGGTTGGTTCATTGACTTTATGTTTGTCCTGCGGTACTTGGGCCTCAATGTCTTTGCGAGAGCCCAAGAGACAAAACCTAATTCCAAGAATTCACATTGAGTTAAAGAACATACCCGCCACGCAATTCTGCTATAAGTATCCTGATATTCCACTCCTATATATACTTTGTTTCCACCGACGAAGAGAGGACACATTGACTTCAAAACTTCAATCAACATGCACACAAAAAAATAACAAACAAAAAAGATAGACATGTTCAAGGATACCATATTATATATGGATCCTGTCTCAAATAGAGATGATGGCAAAGCAACAACACTTGAAAACTTGATGTGATGCGACGTTGAGCAGAAGTCCACAATGAAGTCCTTTCACTCTTCACTATTCAGACTTGTCACCCGAAGACTTGCAAGCAAAGCATGAGGCTTTGGGGAAGCTGGTTCCGAAGTGCGAGAGGAGCAACTTGGAGTCCAACCTAAGGCCGACTGCTAGTTAACTTGAAAAGTGGATGTAATCACTTGTAATGGCTTGCAATGAGATGGACGCAACACGTAATGAATCTCGTTGCGTTCTTTTCAGGCCAGGGGGTCGAGCCGGGGTCACAAGCGGTCAAGCTAGGCGTAGTATGCAGAAGAGGGACGAAGATCAAATGTCCTTCAGGGCCGGAGAATCTTCTTGAAGCCTCACTACGGCCCAGACATGAGGGAACTTGAGGAAAAAAGCTCGTCGTGCTGAAAATGCAACATAGTGATGAAGCAAACATAACTATTTTTGGTTTAAGATGTAGTGTTTGTTCTTGTTGTATCACCCCAAAAGCACGCAATCCAGCCGTTCTCACCAGATGATTATTGGCATTATTGGTGTTTCGCAGCATTGTCATCAGTTGCGCGCTGGCCAGAACGCAAACGAGGCAACAAATTACTCCAAGGGTGCGAGAGCAGTAGTAACAAGAAGCTACTAGGAACAAGTGCATCGCTACTAGGAAC